CAGTATTCCAAGGCTTCTCCTGAGTACTTGATAATATATTTTTTCAGTAAACCTTCCAAAACTACCACACATAAGATGTAGAAAACAAATATTAACTTGTTTTCTTATACTACTTTCTAATGATTGTGTCAAACTTTGGCTTATAGGGTTTTCCATTTGAGGACAACTATTTTACCAGCTGAGGAAGACATGCCTCCTATTATGGACAGTTTCAAAAAGTTCAATGATGAATTCATGGAGCAATACGAAGACAATAGAGGTTATTCAAGGTTGTAAGAAAACCATCCCAAAAGTTGAATTATACTCTTGAAAGCACTTTAATCCATCCATCCATCGCTTAAAAATAAACAACCTCCGTTCTACTATTTGTCCTTCATTGGAGATAATCCTTAAACCTTTGATTTTTCTTCTATATCATGTCTGAACTGACAATCTTTCATGTGTATATTTAGTCTCTCTTGCACCTTTATTTTCTTGTGGCAAGACAAAACTAACAATCGTCTTCAATGCGATGGTTCTCTATCTGTCATGTGTTTTAGATGTCCTAAGAAAAATGGTTAACCATAGTTATAGGTGTTACGAAATGACCCTTGTGATCTGAAACTGGAACCAATAAGTTGATACGAGGACTAGTCCCTGTTGAAATTGAAACTCCATGAACTCCTTCTAAAAGAGGAACATTATATTGTGAAGCACACTCTTCAAAGTGAATTTCCCACAACTATGGTTAATATAATGGGACTTTTTCAAAATGTTTAAAGATTCTCATACATACAGTGGATGTAGCTATCATCTACTTGCAGAATATTGCTGCTATACACAATTGAGAATGACGACGTCTAGAAGCAACAAAATTGGTAATCTTAGTGTTTTTTTATTATTATATATTATTTTGGGTTTCCCTTACAATCATGGGTGTATGAGTTTAGAGAGTAGACAAGGTACGAGGTTGAGTAAGTGGAAATGTATGAAAATGAGAATTTTGGAATGGTCGTAATTAGATTACTGTGTTCCCTGTATACAAATAAAACTAGTATTTTGTTCTTTGTAATGCAAATAATAAATGTTTATTTTTATATAATAAATGTACAATAAATAAATATTTGTGAATATATAGATTATATTTTTAATTTGGAATATTTTAATTAAATTTACTTTACTGTCCATTGTTATGTATTTTTAATCTTATACTATATTTAACAACATTTCTATTAAATTTAAAATATTTTTATTATGTTAATTAATGTAATAGTTAAAATATCTTGAAATATGATGTTAAAAATAATATAGCAGTGTTATGATTAAAATACAAAATGTAACATAAAAATTATTTTAAAAAAATACTAAAATTTAAAACAAATTTACAATCTATCAAAATATTTTAAACTATATAATAATTAAAATAAATAATATAATATATAAAAATATGTAAAAAAATAATATCATTATTAATATCTTATTTAATAAGATACTATAAATAAAAAAAACTATGCCTTATGTAAAAAAGTGAAAATAATGAAGTCGTATTTATGAGTGGATGAAAAGAATATATATGATAAAATTGTATTTCATATAAAAAATAGCAAATAAGAAACTTAATAAATGTTTTAAGGATAAAATAAAAATATAAAAATTAGAAGCCAGGGTTTTAAATGATACTACAAAGTAATAAAAAATTATGTGTACCAAATAGGATGAAACAAACTCTCCAAATTAATAAAAAGAAAACAAAAAGTGAATTTGAATAACATGCCAAATACAATATCCTTGGAAATGCCAAACGTATCCTTGGAAATATTCTAGTTCTTGATAGTACTGAAATTCAAGTTAAGCCTTTGACTGGACGTATAACATTAATATAGTGGCACTGTGATTTTGAATACTTCTTCAACATGTTAACATAATGTGAAATTTTCTCTGAGATTTTTCCTCAGATTAAAATATATATACGAAGCTAGTAAAATAATGATAAGTGACTCTTTTGAAATTATAAATTATCTTCTTCACTGTTACTCAAAACAAAGATTGTGAAATTTTAAAGACTAAACCAATCATGATGTATAACAGCATATGGGTCAAAAATCACAAGGAATATGCTGAAACATGAGTGAATACTTACAAGTTTTGGTTGCATATGGCTTTTCCTTGGAAAACTTTTTGATTTGATTTTCAAAATCAAAAGCATGTGTTCAAAAGGGACCCCCAAATGAAATTATACAGAAAAAGAAAAGAAAAGTGCTTTGAATCGCATGAAACTTTTTTAAGCATACGATTATGTTATTATTACTACTATTGGTGATCCCAATACCCTGAAAACTTGGCGCCAAAATCCAATGGGCGCTTTCTATTATGTTTGCTGCCCCACGGTCAGCTTTTATCACTCGGGCACCCACATTTCTCTCTTTTTCAGTTCTCTCGGTCAGCTCTTATTTAATGCTCTTTGCTTATGTCACCACACTCACAAGTCATTTTTTTTAATTGTGAAACTTTACTCACCAAAAACTAGTGCTTGGTGTCCAATAATCAAATTTTAGACATAATTAATCAGCGTAATCGCAAAAGAATTTAATCATACATTAATTATTTTTCTCCTAAAATATATTTTATTTAATTGAAAAAACCTTATAAATATTTTTGTTTATGTATTTATAATATGTCAATGTATTTTTATTTAAAATAGTTATAAAAAATTGTAAGAAAATATAACTTTATATCTTCATTGATTTATGTTACTTTATAATTTCAGATTCTATTTGAATCAATTGATTTATAAATATTTATATAATATTAAATGAGTCAATTTTTTCCACAAGTTAAGTTAAAAAATTAACTTATATATATCTCAACTTTTGAAAAAAAAATCCTTTGTAAATTGATCTTAACTTATAAAAATTAATATTAATTTATTTCATCGTCCTTTTTTTATATAAATAATCATGAAAAATCCTAAAATATTGCTTTAATGTTCAAACATTTTGCATTTAATGTCATTTACTTTCTCCAGTTTGACGTTGAAATGATGCACCACCTTTCTCTTACATGTTGCCTCTTTCAGTGAGCATAACAATTTGTTTTTGTTAAATTAATTTGGTTGAAATAATAATAGATTTTGTTTTAATTTTTTTTTTAATTTCAAAAGGAAGTTTGTAATATAAAAGGTTAATAACTAATTTTACAATATTTAGCAAAATATTTTATTGTATGGAAATTATAGAACATATTATTAATACTTTTTTATTTGAATAAAATATAGTAAATACTTTTTTTATCATTTTATCATTTATACTCATAATAAAACTGAATATGCAAATTTTAATTCAACATAAAATTTGAAAATGGGTACTTATAAGTTACAAAAACACTTCACATGTAACATGAATTTTGGTACCTAAACACTTCACCGAACATGTTATAAGAATATCGGAGGTTGTGGGCAAACATGCCCCTCACAAACATGGAGATGCCAAGTTGATTTTGGACATTGATAACTTGTTTTAGGATAGCTAATATGATAGACAATATCTAGCATTTAAGAAAAAAAAAAAAAGTTATCAACTTTTTCCCAGTAAAATTTCATGGCTCACTCTGTCACCAGTGCTCGAATTTGTTTTGAACTCTGAACCTTAATAGAATAGGTTTTACAAAAATTTAGTTAAACCTGTTTCCTATTGGGTTTTTGTAAAAAAAAAAAAAAGTTTAAGATTGTATTAATTATTTTTTTATTAATTATATTTATAATAAAAGGTTTTTAATTAAAGAGAATATTAAGATGATAAAGATATTAATAAAAAATTAATAAATTTATTGAAAATAACGATAATTAATGTGTGATTTGTATAACCAACTCTTAATCATAGAAAATATTAACCTTGTCCAATTTTATACTCTTCCAAACATTATTTATTTTATTTGGTTTATCTCACTTAATTATATGCTGTTTTGATAAAATAAAATAAAAATGTAAATTCTCTTACAACCATTCTAATTTAATTATAATTTCAAAATTATTAACCAGGGTTTTAATTATGTGTATAGTTACAACACTTTTTATATTAATCCAAATGTTAGAAGGATTAAGTGGTAAAATAATCGAAGAGATAGATTTCCTCGAGGTAAGATTAATCATTGGATCATAAAAATAATGTATCGATCCCTTCTAACAAATGTAAAAATATTGTGCCATATTGAATTTTTACTACATTAGTAGGTTAAAAAAATGTTATATCTAAACCTAATAGTTAATAACATGCATGATTAATTAATAATATAATACTAATAATAGAGTTTTTTTTTTAACAATTTTGGTTGTTAATAATTAAAAAAAAAATTATGAGTTAGAGGGAGTACAATTACCAAAAGAAATAATTGCGTGTTGCTAAGGAAGAATCTGAATTTACATTTCTTCATGATTTCCGGCCATCAATTCTCATCAATTTAGAAAATGCATCATGACTAAAATGTGGCAGGTAAGAAATAATGTGGTACATATTAATTACTTGAGAGTGTATTTAGTTTTACAATTTAATACTGTAATTACTAGAGTTGATCTTATTTTAATTACAATTATTGTAACCGATTACAACTACGATGCCTGTAAAGATTTTACACGTACGCGCACCAAAAGCCCTATAAAAGTCTTTAAACTCTTAAACAATGGCTTTTCCTTTGTCCCCTCACCTTCAACAATCTTCAAAGAAGCACTTTCATTCAACCTTAACCAAACCTTCTTTTTCTTTTAATCCGTTTCTCCATCTTTCTCAGTGCAAACTTTTCTTAGTTTCCTTCTTTATTCCTCATCTCACTCTCTTTTTCCCCACCCTTTTTTCCCAGTCAACACTTTCCTACTGGTTTCATCTGATTCTTCTTTATTATTCCTCTACCAGTTTACACCCAAAGGAGTAGTGAACAAGAAAAAGGAAAAAAATATAGTGAAGAACCATCTTTATTCGCTTATTCCCTGCTATACATACATATTCATATTACCCTTTTGGAGGTTAAATATGGGGTTCTCTGAGAAGCCACAAGTGGAAGAGTCAGATAGTACTAGAAAATGGGTCATCGCTGGAATCTCTTTGCGAGCGCCATTGAAGCCAATATACACCACCACCACTGTGGAGAAAGAAGAAGAAGATCAAGGCGAAGGTGAGGTGGAAGAGTGTTCAACGACACCAAAAGGGGAAGAAGCAAGGATTCCAGCCACGTCAAAGTGTCCACCAGCACCAAGGAAGAGAAAACCTACTCTGAAGTGCAAGTATCGTGGTGGAGCTAGAGAGTTCTTCACTCCACCGGACTTAGAAACTGTGTTTATACGGCATATTGAAAGGGCTAATTGATCGTAGAGGTGGGAAAGTATCTTTCACCAACCTTAATTAGCTAGTTAGAGCTAGCTAGAACTAATTATTTTAGTTCAGTTATGTAACTTCTTACTTTATTTATCAAGTCGTTTCATGTCTGTGTTATTAATCTAGCTAGATAGACCTTAAATTCAGGAGTTTAGAGATTAGGGTATTTGTATAAATATCTGAATAAGCAATAAAAATGGCATGTTTGCTTGCATGCTTATCTAGTTTTAGTTGCGGGCTTGTGATAATTTTCGTTTCATTTTGAGTCTCTCTCTCTCTCTCTCTCTCTCTCTCTGAAAGAAGAGATTGTAGTCTGATGAAGTAGCTGACATCAAATATAATTGACCTTATCTGCAGCATGTTTATCTGCTTCGTTTGCTGTTGCATAAAAGACATGTTTCCTTATCTGTAAATTTATAAAGTAATAGTACTCTATCTATTGATTCATGTAAACTTTACAGAAAGATAACCAAGGTAGTTGGTAATAGGACTTATATGTCATGGAAGTGATCAGTTTAAATCTGAGTACAAAGTACTAATGAAATAACTTCTGATGATGAATAATCGACCCAAAAGAATTATTTAAATGTTGCTTAATTAAGTATAAGTTCTCTATTTGATTAATTTTTTTGAGATTTAATTCACCAAAAGTTTATTCAAATTAAAGAATAATGAAAATCTAGATAACTGGACTAGTTCAATTCCTGTATGAATGCGAGCTTATGTCTGTGTGCCCTGTTCATGACCATGCGCAAGAATGAGAAAATGTAGGTAGGTAAAAAGGGGAAGATAAGCTAGGCATCTAAATGTGGGAGTTTCAAAATGCAAAGTGGGAGTGAAATCCTTTTCAATGGGGTAGGGAGATGCTACACACAGATGCTTCTTATTGTTGATTGACCGAGAAGAAAGCCCCACTTAGTAGGTCCTCTAGTCATAGCACCAGTTAGCTTCATAGTCTTCTGTCATCTTTCTCCTTTTAGAGTTTCAGGGTCTTACAATACTGTCCCACATCTCCATTAAAAACCTTTTTCCTAGACATTTAGTGCGCCAACGACTATAAAGTCTACCAAGGGAGTTTATTTCAATGGTTATGAAGGTTAATTGTTGTTATAAATTGTTTAAACTGATAGAAAAATATACAAGAAAATTGATGAAAAAGATGGTATGATGTTAAAAAGAGTCTCATATGAATAAAAACGAAAACAAAGTTATGTTTACACTTGAATTTATATCGTTTCCGTACCTCCTTTGTAAGTAAAAGCAGAAGAGAAAGAAATTCCAAAAAATATTCCCTGAAGGGTGTGGTGATAGTACGTAACATATAAGGGTAATAAGAAAATAAACATGAGAAACAAAATTCCAAAAAATATTGAGAAGTGACATAAGAGCAAATGACCCCCCACCCACCTAAGATTCATGTTGAGAGTGGGAAGGTTCTGTGTAAATTGTTTTGTGATATTAGCTCATGGAGTCATGTGGTGTAAAGCGACAAAGCACGTGGAGGTGAAGATTAGAATCCTATGCTAGTTGAATGGCTCTCATTTTTGAGTTTGTAAAGCTAAAATTTTAAGGTCAATAATTGACCGAACGAAGGGTGGTATAGTAGTGTAGTAGTAGTAGTAGTCATTGTTTTTCTATCTTATCCTAATAATATCCTGTTCTAGTATTATCAAATAATGAATCTTTATGGAGACATAGCGAGACTCCAACAGTGGGAAGATACAAGAAAAGGCAAAGCAAATGTTAGAATAGTGGTCAGGGGGAGTTCATCTGCCATCGTGCATTACAAAATATGATTCTCGGGATCGGAGCCTGTTACTCAGGGAATGCCATTCCAACACGTCTAAACAACACTCATCATTTCTAAATTGTACCCAAAAACAGACAGAGAACACTGCACAGTTTGCTTGCACTGCACTGGGTCACTATACACTATATAGTGCCTTTGTTTAGACTAATCCTTAATTGAGTCCATTATTGGAGACCACATGCAGAGGAACAAAGTTGTTTGGCATATACCCACAATTTTAGCAATGAGTTTATTTTTGAGACAAGGAATTAACAAAGAGTTTTTTAGTATTCTTTTTTTAAAGTGTTCTAGAAAAGATTCAATTTAGAGTGGTTGGTGGTTCTACAACCATGAAGCAACTTACCTTATATAATTCATTTTAATACTCTTTCCTTCAAACTAATTAATTTTATACTAGGTATAGGCTCCAGTTTGCTAGGGAGGTGTTGATTGTCTGTGGTATTATGTATCATATAATGAAGCTTGATAAAAGAAGGATGGATTTTGATTTGGAATTTTGTTTTGTGGTCTCTATGAACTCACTGAAACTAGATTCTCTTTTCATATAGTCCAAATGACAAAAAAAATGGTGATAGAATTAATTAAGACAATGGCTTAATTATGTGGATTAGGATGAAAGGAGGAATATATTTGTGGACTTCTTTATATTATGAGTAGTGTTATTATATATAAACCCTATGCCTTCTCTTTATATTATGGAGGTGGGGATAGTGAAGGTGCTGAATTTTCTTCATTGTTATGCTATCCATTTTTCTGGCATGCATAACTAACGCTGTTCCTTGTACTCTCATCCATAAACTTTTAAAACAACAAAATATTTATTGCAGAAAACGCAGTGTTATTTATGTGAGTGGAGGATGCAAACGTAAAATGACAGCATTGTGACGTAATTGTTATGTAAGAGTTTGAATCAATGTTTGAATGCATTGTCTGAGATTCTGGTAGATTAATTGTTGTGCCCATGTGTGTCATTTAATGTTGCATACCACCCAAGTCTTGGGCCTTAGGAAGAACAACAGAAGGAGGAATTGACAAAAATTATATTGGCAAAGATATATGGATTAAGAAAGAATAGACTTTAAATCGTGATAGATTATTATTTCACCTCATATTTATAAATTAAATTAGGTTAATTACATGTATTTTTTTAATATTTGAACCATGTTTTCATCCATTATCATTCTATTTAATTTTTTGTATAATTTTTTTGTTTTGTTAAGAAATAAGTGCATTTAGAACAAATTTTGTGGGATTTGTGTGGTTGGCGTCATTCATAAGCTGCAATAAAATTTTCTTTTTGCTACTGGGCTTAGGCTGAAAAGAAAAAAGAAGGGAATAGCTAGAAAAAAAAAGGAAAAGGGCTGACGTGGAAAGAAAGAGAGGAGGCAAGAAGGACAACAGATGAGGAGTATTTTTTAGAGTTTTAATTTGTGTATGAAAGATTAAACTTTTCTTTTGTCATTCTTTTGCTATTTGATTATTCAAACTTTAATTACTCAAACTTAGGTAAAATTAATGATATAGTATTCAATATATATTCAATCCCTGAGAACGATAATGTGGTTACTTTTGTAACAATTGATCCGCTTACCAAAATATACATCAATTTCCTGGCGTCGTTGTCGGGGATTGAAAATTTTTGTTGATATTAGAAAGCTTTTTTTTACTTAAGATTTGAGCTACAATTTTATTTCACTGTTCTAGAAAAAAAATTTCTCCTTCTTCTTTCTTTGCTTTTATGCCTTTAACACTGTTTATGCGAGGTACTATAGTACCAAAAAATATGTTTGATCCATAAATTGAACATACTTCCAGAAGAAATAGAGGAAGTCCACGGAAAAGAAAAAAAGAAAGGAGAAGAGCACAATACGAAGCAAATCACAATTCATACACTATAGCCATAGATAAGCCCAAGAGAACACTGAGGGACTACTCCATACCAGATCCAAACAGTTACAAAGGGAGTATTGTTAGACCCCCTATACAAGCAAATAATTTTAAAATTAAATCTTCTTTGTTACAAGTCATACAACAAAATCAGTTTGGAGGTGTACCTTTGGAAGATCCAAATTCTCACCTGGAGAATTTTTTTACTATCTGTGACACGTTGAAAATTAACGGATCCACTGATGATGCAGTCCGCTTGAGGCTTTTTCCCTTTTCATTATGGGACAAAGCCAAAGGCGGACTCCAATCACAACCTCAAGGAAGCATCACTACTTGGGATGATTTGGCTACCAAAATTGTGAACAAATACTTCCCTCCAGCAAAGTAAGTGAGAATGAGGAATGAGATCACCAGCTTTATGCAACAGGATTCTGAATCTTTGTATGAGGTGTGGGAGAGGTTCAAGGAGTTGACAAGAAGATGCCCTTATCATGCACTATCAGATTGGTTGTAGGTGCAGATTTTTTCAATCTCATTTCTCCTACCTTCAAAGCAATGTTGAATGCTGCTAGTGGAGGATCATTCAACCTAAAAATACCAGAGGAAGCCTTAGAGACCCTGAAATTAATGGCAAATAATATAGTACATATGCAGTTTGATCGTCAAAGTAGAAAAGTTGGACTGCTGGAAGTTAGTACTTTGGATGTCATTTGAACTCAAAATAATATACTAACCCAACAAATCACAGACATGACTCAACTGTTAGGGACTATGCATCAGCCAAACAAGCAATGGAGTAGTCCAGCCCAGCCTAGACAACCAAGACCTCCATATCAATATCCAACAATTCCTAACAACCAAGCACAAACTAACTTTCAAGGGACCAAAATGTCTACTTTGGAAAGTGCTTTGGAGAAATTATCTATGCAGACATCTAGCTTTGTGGAACAAACCTCTCACTTCATGAGTGAAACTAGAACAAATTTCAAGAATCAGGAAGCTTCAATCAAGAACCTGGAAACCCAAATTGGTCAGATATCAAGACAACTATCAGAGAGAACCCCTGGTACATTTCCTAGTGACACTGAAGTGAACCCAAAATAACATTGTAAAGCCATACAACTGAGGAGTAGAAGGGTAATAGCTAATGGGAAAAAAAGGGTAGTGGCAAAAGAGAAAAAGCAAGAGAATATAGAGATTGTAGAGCAAAAAGAGAGGGAAAAAGAGAAAACCGACTGGAATTGTGAGCAAGAAAAAGAGGGAGAGAAGAAACAAGGGGACGAGAGTGAAAAAA